CCGGCCCGAGACCCCCCCCAGCCTCCCCTGCAACCCCCCCAGCCCCACGGTGCCCAGCCTGAGAGCCTCTCCAGCCCGTGTGGCTCACTCACGTGCTGCAGCGCCAGCCCCAGGCGGTGACACAGGACCCTGCGCAGGTGACGCACTTGGGCCCGCACCGAGCAGCGCACGAACTTCTGCTGCAAGGGAGAGCGGGTGAGGGCAGGCGCCGGGGGCACCACAGAGGGGGCCACCAGGTCTGGGACAAACAGACCCCCCCCCCGGCCAACACACACCCCTGGCAACCCCCAGCACGCAGCCCCCCACCAGCCTCTGCCCCCTATGGCTACACCACACAGATCCCCCAGGGCTCCCCCCGTCCACCTCCCCGCCGGGGACACCCGCCCTGTCCCTATCCTGGCGCAGCGTTTGCTGGGCAGGGCTCTGGGCTGGTGCAGCCCCCTGGGCCAGGTGCAGGGGGCATCCCAGGGGTGTGGGGCCGATGGGGGGCACAGGAGGCATCAGTGGAAGGAGCCACCCAGGCTGCCCTCCCCCCACCCCTGGCAAGGGGCCTGGCCACTGCCTCCAGCCCCCGCAGGGGAGCCAGACAGCAGGGCAGGGCCAGGCCCTGGCTAGCTGGGGGACGAGGACACTGGCTGGGAGGAGCCCGCCCATGCCAGTGTCCACAGCCGTGTCCCCCCCGCCATGGTCCCACCTGCCTGCCCCCAGACCGCTGAGCTAACGCAGGAAATGCCGGCGTCCGGCCCCAGCATGCTGGCACCAGAGCACCCCCCTGGAGAGGCAGGATCGTGGTGCCCCCAGCTGCCAGCAGACGGCACCATGTCTGCCGGGCGGGGAGCTGCACCCTGGCCAGCGGCACAGCCTGGTCACCCCCTGCCCGGGCCTTACCTGCAAACTAGTCTTGTTCTTCTCTTTGCTGGAGCTGGGGAGAGACAAGAGGGGACGGCCCATGAGAGCTGTGGGAGGGGCAAACCCAGCCCTGGGGCGCTGGCACAGCTAGTGCCCACAGGGAGGGTGCAACATGGGCACCGTCTGGCCCTCTTCACAGCAGCTCCCCCTGGGAGCCCCTAAACCCAGCTTCCGCCTTCCCCCCCACAGCCCAGAGCCCCTAGCCGCCGACCCCCCCCGGCCGGATGGGACCCTGCGCGCCCCTCGTCTGACTGGGGTGCACGGGCCAGACCCCCTCTTGAACGGGAGCCATGTCAGAGACGCACCAGCCCTGACCCTCCCCGGCCAGCGTGTCTGACCGTGGCTAGCCTCAGCTTCCAGCCCCCGGCCCGTGAGCCTGTCCTCTGCCTGTTCCGCGGGGACCCAGCCACCCTGACCCCTCTCTTTAAATCCACCGGGCTCCCTGCGTCTCTCACTCCAGGGCCCGCGCTTCTTGCCCTGAGCAGCTGCGAGTCCCACCCCAGCACTGGCTGCATGGCTGCGGGGCGCGCCGTTTCTCAGAGCAGGCGCGGGGGGCACTGGGAGGGCACCTCCCGCCCCCAGCTGACACCGCCCCACTGACCTCTGCCGTTCCAGGCACAGGGAGACGTGCTCGTCGTAGCGGTAGTAGTGGGCACGGGAGTGGTCGAAGCTGCTGTAGGGCAAACCCATCGTGTCGACCACGGGATCTGAGGAGAGGCAGAGACAGCGATGGGCCCGGCCCCCCGCAGCCACCAACCAGGGCCCACAGGTCAGGAGCCCAGCCCAGCAGACAGCTGGGAGTGGGGCAGGATGGACACCCCGGGGAGAGACAGCTACAGCCTGCCCCACCACCCCACCCCACAGTTCCCAGAGCCCCCTGCAGTGCCACCCTGTCCCACCCCCCCAGCTCCACAGAACCCCCTCCCCCGCCGCCCTGCCAGCTCCGCAGAGCCCCCTCCCCGCAGCTCCGTCCCGTCCCCCCACCTTCGCAGAGCTCCCGCCACCCATCCCAGCCCCCCCACGCTCCGCA